TTGATTAGGGTGAGCGCCTTCTTGTCCTTCTTTCTTGTATCCTTCAAACTATCTATTTGTGCTTGGGATAGAGCGACCTCGTTTGTGGCTCTGTGTAGCCTTTCTCTACGATCTCTTATGCTTACGACTTGAGAAACACTTTCATCCTTATGCTCCAATTGTCATAGTTATCCCTATTGAGTTGGGGAACTTGAAAAGGAATCATCCCACTTGCCCTTTTTTTTACAAGAACCTTAGGGTTCTGATACCAGTTTGTTGGAGGAAAGAGATGTTTACTAACTTGGATTGACTAAGGCTTTTAAGGAGGACAACACTACTAGGAAGGAGGAAGTGAACAAAAGAAAACTTGCATTTCTCAATTTCAAGACTTACACACTTTTTTGGCTTGTTACAAAATGGGGGACACTACCTCTTTATATAGTGTTTACATGAAACTTCTAGTCCACACATTTTCTAGAGAATCCTAGACCACATATTTACATAAAATTTTTAAAACACACATTGGACAAGATATTTTTCTAAAATACTCTAGATAGACTTTATAAGACCTCATATTCTTCTTGACACATCGCAACATTTATCACCACATACTTTACTTAGATATTTATATGAATTTTTTAGTAGATATTTATATAAATTTTTCTAGATAATGTTTCTAGAAATGCTAGGCAAGTTGGGCCTTTTAATTGATTTGGGGCCTATGGGCAAAGTCCTTAAACCCATATTTTTAGTCCAAAAATCAAGTTTATTACTCAACACAAACTTTCATTTTTGGTGCAAGTAGGTCCACAAGACCATAGCTGCATGGAAACTTCAAAATTCTATTAAAATGTAGCATGCCTTAAGTGACCACTTATGCAGTTTTTTTTTTACAAGCCTTGTATATATTTATTAACACGCAATTAAAAATGCTAAACGGGGAAAATGATTGGGTGTAACCAAACTACTAGAAAGCCTCAATTTGAGAACAAATTAGGCTTTCCCTGTAAATCTCAAAAGAGGTGTTGTGCGTATCTCAATCGATTCGAACATTATGTTCCATAGGACGTATATGACCTATCTTGAATCATCCAATTGGAAACTGAATCACTACCATTAGTGTGATCCATTGAACACAGAGTAAATCAGTATGACTAATGGAAATGTTAGAAGCCCCAAGCCTTAGACCTTGGGGAACTGGTTCAAGATCATTCAGAAATGTAAAAAAACCCAGGCCTCGGATGCTGGGGAACTGGTTTAAGCTTAAAAAATTTAGACATATAGTGGCTAGCTACAAGCTCTTCCATTGTCCAAGTATGTGCCCTTATTGTGATGTTTTCCGTAAAGATGTTGAGTTTATGTCCAAAATGGAGACGATTGCTTGGCTCTAAACAATGTTCCATTTTAGGTTATATTTAAGAAGGTATAAAAATGCCTGTAAGAAACATGCAACCGTGTTTAATTAGTAGTTATAAGTGATGACAACGAGGGAGATGATGACGTTACCATTCCCCGCCTAAGGCGAGGCAGAGGCAAGGATTCCTGCCTCTCTATTTAATTTCTTTTCATAATGGAAATGAGAGAAACTTGCGTGATATTGTGTGGGCATTATTTTTTCATATTATAAAAAACGCAGGTTTAAGACGGGGAAATGGTCACTGAACTTTGTAAAACGTTTTCACGGGATCACTAAACTTTGCAAAAGGTTTCCATGAGACCATTGAACTTTAAAAATCATCATATTCATCACTAAACTTTGCAAAAAACTCCTAGAGGATAACTAATTAAATGATTCGAGGGAAACCTTTTGCAAAGTTCAGTGACCATAAGGAAATCTTTTGTAAAATTTAGATATGAATATAATGATTTTTAAAGTTTGGTGATCCTATGGAAACTTTTTGCAAAGTTCAGTGACCATTTGTGTTATTAACCCTACACGTACATAATTGGTTTACATACACTTAATGTTGTGATATATGATTAGGTCATAAATTTTTCAACCAAATAAAAGAAAAAAACTTCCTCTCTTTTTGACACATCATTCGTACATGAACCATTAGTAAGTACTTATGTAAAAGTAACATTATTTCCTTTTTACCATCCCTGTTAAGTAGTAACTATGCACAATCAATGACATGAACATGCATGCTTTGTCTTGTTTTCAATTCAATAAATTTCTCTAACTACGACTATACTTACACACAGTTTTGACTAAATGCTCTAATTTTTTGGAGGTATGGATCCTATCCGTGTATTATGGACGAAAATAAAAAGAGAGTAATTTTGCCAACACGCTTACACAAGCGAAGAAAATGCAAGACTATCCAGTTATGAACTAATTATGCTTAATTCTAACGAGGTTTCCTTCCAGTTACAAGTAAAAAAAATCATAGTTTAGTTTAAATAATTATAAATTTTCATGGAATTCTTGTTAAGTGAGTGTTGTAAAAGTAACATTGAGAATGACATTTTAACGAGGACTCATCAAAATTATCATCTTCATTGGCCTTAGAACCACCAAATACGAGAATAAGGCTATTCTTATAGAAGAAATTGGAAGTAGGTGCATAGGTTTTTATTTTTTATTTTTTCGGCACAGTGGTTTGTAATGACAGATTAGGTCCGAAAAAATTTGTTAAATGGACTTGGACACTTGACATAGAATGAAAGCAAGCTTATTTATGCCTACAAATTATTTAAGCTCTAATAAGCTAAAATGAACAAAAAGAAAGGAACTGATTCACCCATCCTCCAACCCTCAAACTGAGCCCCTTAACTATTACTATATTTATTTTCGTTAATTAAACATGGTATCTAGAGCGGTTTAATTGAAGAATGAAAAGTTTATTCCCAATTTTCTATTAATTTTTGCTTCTTGAGATGGTGGTTTCTCGAAATTATATGTGGCATGCCTCGTTCAAAATATTTTCGAGCCACTTAGTACGATAAAAGATTTGATATGAGTGTAAAAGCTACACTTTTCACTTTTACCTCTAACCGAAAAGGTAAAAAGAACTTCACGTTAGATTTTGTGACCCAAATTATGTTGGATTTTTTGAAAAATATTATTTCCTTATTTTTACGTGATTTTATTGAAAATATTGTTTACTTTATTTCACGTGATTTAATTGGAAAAATATCACTTCCTTTATTCCACAATATTTTTGATATTATTTCCATCTTTATGGTATTTTTAGGGTTTTGGTATGCCTTATAAATATGTGGCTTTTCTATTCAATTTATGGGAAGCATTATTGCTGAAGTTGTATTATTCTCTCTTATTGGTTTTCAATAAAACGCTTTGTTCCTTTGCCAATTTCTTTCTTTACTTTTAATCTTGTTTTTGTTTGTGCAATAATATACTTCATATTGTGTCAATAACCTCTCGGATATCTCCAACAAGTGATATTAAAGTTAAGGTTGAGTGTTTTGTTTGAGGTTTCTGTTATCGATGACAAACATGAAGTATGATATTCCACTTTTGGACCTAATACAAAGTTTTAATTGTAACAAGTAAAGATGAAAACTGTGTTGGGACAGATGGACTTGGATAATACGTTGTTGTTATTTGATAAGATACCCACAACTTGGACTCTAGAAGAGAAGAAACAAAATGATCAAATGAATCTTTCGCAGATACATCTTCATCTTTCTAACAACATTCTTCAGGACGTATTGAAGGAGAAAACAACTGCTGCATTATGGTTGAAACTAGAGCAACTGTACATGACAAAGAGTTTGACAAGCAAGTTGCATCTGAAGTGGAGACTATATTCTGATCGCATGGCAGAAGGAGGATCTTTGGAGGACAATCCGATCGTGTTCAAGGAAATCATCGCTCATCTAAAAATGTTAAAGGTAAAGTATGATGAAGATGACTTGTCCTTGATCCTATTGTGCTCATTGCCCACTTTGTATTCATCGTTCAGGGACACGATTCTATACAGTCGTGACACACTCACCATTGATGACGTTTATGATACTTTATTCTCAAATGAAAAGATGAAGCATTTCGTTGGAGCTGAATCTAGAGATGAGGAAGCTCTGGTTACTCATGGTGATCAACGGAGGAGTAACTCGAGGGTGAACTTCGGCAATCAAGTTTACTTCTATTACAAGAGAAAATGACACATCAAAAAGGATTGTGGCAAGTTGCAAGTTAAAGGTAATTTAGCTGCAAATTGTAGGAGGCAATTAGATCATTCGAACGAGACAAATATTGCCAAGGACTTTTTCGATAGCAAAAATGTGATGTTGATTGTTTCTGATGTGGAATCCAAGTCTGATGAGAAGTGAATTTTGGATTCAGCATGTTCGTTCCATATGTGTCTCAATAGGGTCTGGTTTGGAACATATGAAATGGTGAAGTAAGGTGTTATTGTCATGAGAAACAACAAAACTTGTAAGGTAGTTGAAATTGGAAGGGTTAGATTGAGGTCGTTGGATGGGACAATAAGAACACTTGGCTAGGTTCAACATGTTCTACACTTAAAGAAGAATCTCATCTTCGTGACTACCTTGGATTTGAATGGGTACACATTCTCTGATGGAGGTGGAGTCTTAAAGATCCGAAATGATGTTCGAGTTGTACTGGGGGGTGAAAGAAATCTTAGTTGTACATCTTGCAAGAGCGTGCAGAATTAGTGAGAAAATATATGGACAGGTTCAGTATCATAATGGATATACAATTTTGTACAATACCATTGGGATTTGGCTCTAAGTCTTTGAAGAAAATAGTTGTATGAACCCAACTAGCAACCACAGTTGAAGAAATTACTTACTGGATGGTGTGGAAGTGGTATTAGGATTTAGACAAGAGGGAAGTAGTAACTAAAGAAGATAATTTTGGATATATTTCTCCGTAACTTTCATTATATTGTACAGTAAAACATGCATGCATGCTTATGACCGAATTCTAAGTTGTAGGACTTACTTGAAATCCCAAACGAGGTTGAGTTACTTGCCTTTTATTTGCTTGCTTTCCACACCCTCTTGTACTAGTTTCTTGGTCAAAAACTCAATCACGTAGGAAGGAGTTTAATGTTTACAATTGAAGAACCAAATTTGAGATGCTCTTCTTCTTTGATCAAGCCACTATTGGGAAAAATTGGTGATTTGTGTATAGATGAGCATATTAACTAATAAATATAAATAACATAATTTAATAATGGCATAAACATAATAATATTATATTAATATAAACACTATAGTTCAACAATAACAAGAGAAGAGTGAGAATTGCAATCCTTAGAGAGTTACGTCAAGAACGCTGCCCTAAAGTAGTGTTGACTCTCCTTCATGTGGATTTTTTCGACACTACGCGACTCTAAGATAAAACACATGTTACTCATAGTTGATTCTCCTTCTATGGGTACGACCATATAAAGATAAATGAACAAACTTTATCGAGTTGTCAAAACTATAGAAATATAGTATGAAATATAGAGAGTATTTTTGTATCAATTATTTCAAGTTGTGTTTTTCTAAGTGTACATCAAATAATGAAATCACCACCTCCTTCTATAAAGACAAATGTAACCCCCGCGCATTCATGAAAATAAATCCAATTCATGTATAAGTTATAATCCATTAATCATGAGTTTTAATTTTGTATTAAAATGTAAATTAAAATAGAAAACTAAATTCTAAAATTACCTCTAATTTTGAAATTTAAAATTTGTTAACATTTATGTTACAATAATCCCCCACAAGTTTTTAATTTTCAAAAAATATATAATATAGTATAATAGTGATAATATAATATTGTGCAATAAGTTTAGGCATCTTTTAGACTTGAAACTCATTTAGTAATAACAATTTTCATTTGAGGGATCCTTAATATACTAAACCTTGAATTAAGTCCCTTTGGCCAAACTTCAATTATTCCACACACTGTATTTATTTAGGCTCTAATTCATAGCGCTAGCACTCTTAATGGCTATGTGCTCTAATCTCAATTCTAATAATAGTCTCTAGAGAATAGCCCAATCTCATAGCCACAACCTCATAGCAACTCTTGCATAGATAAGTACTCCAAAGGTTCATGTGACTCGTACCTCGTGAGAATTCTCGTTTTAGTACTCATTCATAGTTAAACCCTTCCCAACATTACATTATTATTAGCACTATATCGCCATGGGATGAGCATAAATTATATAGTGCTATTACAAATCACACAATACAGGTTGTTTCTATCACATTGAACTTTTTTATGGGATCTCCAATCACAAATGTTAGGTTACTCCGGGAGGTGACTCCTTTGTGGCCTAACCCATGCCCTCAGTAATTTATGTATATCATTCTCGGACTACAACTTATTTATGTTCCTCTTAGACAATAATATGGTATCATCAATTTGTAAATCTCTTTGTCTCTGCTTGCATATCTATACATCTGTAAAATCTTCTAAAAACATTTCTCAATATCAAATTCACATTAAGTATAATAAGATAAATTCATGAAATTTAAAATTGACTTCTAGTCACATTTGAACATGTGCATCCATTCAACTCTTGTATTGCACCTGCATGTCCCCAATTTCATTTCTAATACTTTTAAAATGTCAGTTTTTCACAAAGAATAATAAATATAAGGTATATCTATTGAAAACTTTAAATACCCCTACATTTCAAAGATATAATAATTCATTATCAAATAATTCTCAATCCCCACATATTACAATATAATATTGATCTTTGTAGTTGACTAAAATTGATTGACCACCTATGTATATACTACTCTCACACACAACATATATGTAAATGAATATATTAAACTATTAATTACCATATTACAAAATTTCTAACACTAACCAATCCACCGCAGTCATTGGATTCAGAAGCACCAATTTTTTCACGTTTATCTATTCTTTTACTTCATTTTGAAGAAAATAGTTAACCACTTTATTCTTCAAATTTGAAAGCAAGATACTTATGGACTACACATTCTAATTGTGTTGGAAAACTACTAACAATCTATTATGAATAGTATAAGAACTTCTGTACTACACATTCTAATTGGTATATATTTTCTTTATATCAAATATGAGCACGTGTTTTTCTAATTGTCCAAACCAATATTATGCATAATAGAATTGTTTTTTTTACTAAATTCAATAGCAATATTAATTTATAAAACCCATTACCAATAATTGGCATTCACAATATCACATTACATAACTCTATTTAAGCTATTGTTCCTTTAATGGTTCGTGTCATTTGATTACCATAAATATTAAGAAATATAGAGAAAATGAATCCATAGCATATGGATAAATAGAGGTGACATAACTTCAAAGCATATATGTGTGCTACATCTCCAGCAGGTACAAAATAAGGACCAAATTCCAAAGTAAACTCAACTACATTAGAAAATATTAGTGGAATTTCTGAATATAGTATTTATAGTTCAGCCACAAAATTTTTGATAAATTAAGCCCATAATAATTTTATGTTTCCTAGTAATTAAAGTTCCTAGTTATTTCTTTTATTAAGTAACAAATTATTGTCTTAAAAATGTTTTAGGTTGGGCTAAGCAAATATATTGTACATATTCTTTAAAATCCAAAAACCGAATAAATTATTATTTGTTATTGATTAAGAAAATCTTTTTCTCTGAACTTCTAACTCTCTCATTGATTAATTAGAGTAATCAAGTGTAATGGAAAACCGTCGAAGTCGAAATCATTTAGAATAGAAAAGGATCATTCAGCTGGATATTTTCAACTTTCATGGTCATTGAAATATTTCTCCACCACTATGGCAACAGAATTTGACGACGTCATCAGTTTCTTTGTTAAAAGATGAACAACGGCTAATGTTTCAAAATTCAAGTCCACACCTATCATTGTTTTGTGGACACAAATAATCAGGATGGATCCAGGATTAGATCAAAGACCGGGCTACAAAATTTCAAATCGGACTACTACACGGAAAAAAAATTTACTCATAAAAGAACTGATTTTTTACCAAAAAAATAAATAAAAAATACCTTAAAAAAAACTATTGCGCCTGAGTGGTGGGGGGGCTACAACCCAGCCCAACCCCCCTAAATCCATCTCTGAAAATAATGCTCATTACAACGAGGTCATCATCAACCCCAATGCTATATACTATACATAATATATGGCAGAAATTACCAAAGCCATCATAGCTATTTTTCTAATCATTATTTCTATTATGGAAAAAACAAATCAATCCTTAATTTACTTCTTTAGATCATTTAATGAGAGCAATGAACAAAGAATCATTTTTACAGTCACAGTAAGTAGAAAGTTATATTATTGGGCCAACAGGTCCATATTTTTAAGTTTTGAATAAAAGTCATGTTTCAAAATTGATAAAAGTACTCACAGAATAGGACAGCAACAGGGAATCCATTTTTTTCTCTAATCACTTACGCATTCATACACAAGATATATTTCCTACAAGAATAGGACGGCAACCCGGAATACACTTTTTTTTTTTTTTCCCCTTCTTCTTCTTCTAATCACTTGGGCACCAATACACAAGATATATTTCATACCCTTTGAAGATCACAACAATAATTGTCTACATACAAATTGCCGTAACAAGACTTTAGATTATTGAGAAAAAATGGTGATTTGTGTGTAGATAAACATATTAACTGATAAATATAATTAACATAATCCAATAATTGTATAAACATAATAATATTAACATTAACATTATAATTCAACAATAAGAAGAGAAGAGTTAGAAATGCATGCCTTAGATAATCACGTCAAAAATATTGTCCTAAAGTCATGTTGCCTTTCCTTCATGAAAGTTTTTTTAGTATTACGCGGTTTCAAGATAAAATTCATGTTGTGAATCTGGTTCTTCTTCTATGAGTACGATCATAGAGAGATAAATTAACAAACATTTATCGAATTGCCAAAACTAAAGAAATATAGAGAGTATTTTCGTATTCAATTATTTCAGATTGTGTTTTTCTAATTGTACATCAAATAATGAAACCACCATTTAAAGACAAATATAACCCCCTCACATTCATGAAAATAAATCCATTTCATATATAAATTATAATCCATTAATCACGAGTTTTAATTTCGTGTTAAAATGTAAATTAAAATAGAAAAGTGAAATTTAAAACTTATTAACATTTATGTTACAATAGCCACACCCTTATCTCTTTTTTCTCTCTTTTAAGAAACCTTAATTTTCATTATTTTCATGTTTTGAGGATGAGTTTTCCAATTCTATTAATAAATCTATACGTCATACATTGGACGAGCCAAAAATATTATTTAATGGGGACAATTTCCCTCATCCCCTCTACCCCT